AACTCCTTGGGTTAGGATGATCCTTTGAGGTCTAAGCAACAGTGTGGAGACAGGCCCAAGAACTGCTATTGCAAAAGTTATTTTAATGTGGCATCCTGGCAAGAGTTGGGTCATGAGGGGGAACTGGGGCATGGAGGCAAGGCTGGTAGGGTCTTGCTGTAAGAAGAGCTGGTCACAACCATTCTTAGAAATGCTCTGGATAATGTGTTTGGCTACCCCATGTGTTGCATGATTTTTACACAGCTTAAACCATTCTAACTAATGGCTCCTTATTGCGGCAGCGTAGCTCTGCCCAGCATTATATTATATCGCTGAAATGTACCAGTAGCCCCTCTAAAAATCCTCTCATGCCATCAGGGATCAGCCAAGGGGCTTCCCCACCCCTCAAATCACCATCAGCAAGGAGCCTTCCACTGCCTAAAGGATCCTGCATTTAAAGACACAGCCAAGAAGGTGACACTTGTGAGAGGAAGGCCTGAGTATCCAGGGAGCAAGGGAGGTGGAGATAAGTGCTCCCCATCTGATATATATTCATCAGCCAAATCTGAGGCCTCAAATAGTGTTGTATGGCATGAAAGCAGGGCCCACCAAATGAGTTGAGACTGTTGGTATGGCTGCCCTCCACTCCCTGGGTAGGTCTCTGAATGCAAGTCTACACTCTTAGCCTGCCTGGATGGCTCATCTGCACATGGGCTCTAGGTAGACATATAGAAAGCTGGGGACAGGGTCCATCATAGCCCAGGGCAGCCTAAAAAATATTTATAGCAGGCCTAGAGCTGTAGCTCAGCGGTAGAGTGCCTGCTTAGCATGTGTGAGGCTCTGGGTTCGATCCTCAGCACCACATAAAAATAAATAAAAATGATAAAGGCATTGTGCCCATCTACAACTAGAAAAAAAATTAAAAGAAAAGAAATATTTACAGCATAATTATGGGATTTCACAGCCCACTAGTTTATAGAATATCTAGGCCTCTCTGCTTTGCAGGGTGTCTAAGCATTACAGCTTATGGTTTTTTTTTTTAATATATTTATTCCTAAGTTTTAGGTGGACACAATATGTTTATTTTACATTTATGTGGTGCTGAGGATCGAACCCAGTGCCTTGTGCATGCTAGGTGAGCGCTCTACCACTGAGCCACAATCCCAGCCCCTTATGGGTGTTTTCTACTGGTTCTGTCACTCACCAGATGAAGGGAAGTCCGGCATTTGTAAGAACTGCCCAGGCACTTGGAGGAGCACTTCCTTCCTCACCCCTCTTCCACCTCTTTAGAGCATTTCAGAAAGGGATATTTTCTTTATTCATTTACTGTGTGACCTGATTGTGCCTCAGTTATATTTTCCTAATAGCAGATGGTTGGCGTCTGCAGGCAGGAGGCTCTATACAATTTGTAGCCTTTGGTTGATCTCCTTGCTGAATGCACTGTGTATGACAGAGGAGCCCACAACAACTGGAGAGGGACTTGTCAGAAAGCACACATGGAGTCAGTGTGTTGGTCCAATGCCTACTGGGGTTGCCCTGCTGCCATTGGCCTGGACTGCGTATGCGTATGACTGGGTGGCCCTGAGATGATGCATCTTGTCCCCCGCCCCTCATCTGAAGAAAATGAAGCATCCTGTCCTCATTGTAGGAACTAGGAGCCTCTACCTGTATCTGGTGCTGAACATGTAGTTTCTGCTAGCTCAAGGAAAGTTGGGGGCACCAGGAAATCCCCCATTGGTAGGTCAAAGTTGAGACATCACTGACTCCTGTTGAAGACAGTCAGTATTCAAGGCTCCCTGCTGATACCAAATACCCTGATTGTCCAGAGTCTCACTTGTTGCAGTTCTGGAAATGCTGATAATCCTGATGTCCTACATAAACTTCAGTGTCAGTGTTTTGGAACATTCCACTGAAAAACAAACATGAAAATGACATATATGCCCAAATATAGGCATTTAAAATGGATATTCATCTGAGCCCATGTATATATCCAGGCATATTCTCATATGCTCATTCTCTCCCCCCCCCACCTGCAAAACCAGTCATGATGCACCATTGTCTTTTCTATTCTGGGCCTACATTTTTGTTACTTTCTTCTGAGCAGATCTGCTAGGGAAATATCCTTGTCCTCAGAGGGCTGGAAATCTAGTCTGTTTGGCCAACATCAAGTGCCTGGAAACTCATAGGGGGGGAAGTATCATAGTACTGAAAATAAAGTTGTTGATACTCAGATGTACTTGTAGGAGAGACCAGAAGAACCAGCAAGCAAATTGCCCCGAGCTAAAACAGTGGAGACAATGAGGAGAAAGAGGAGACTAAACAAGCCACAGGCAATTTTTACCTTCTTAACAATCTTACACAAAAGCCTAAGTGCTCAGTGCCCTCTGTGGGGAACAGGGGGAGAACGAGGCTCCCCGATACCTTTTGACCTTTTACCTTCCTATCCAATAGGAGCTGTGTATACCTCTTCCTGGCCTTTTGTTGGTATCTATGTGAAACTTTCAGCAAGAGAGTCCAAAATTAAGCATTTAAAACAGCCTGCCAGGCATATTTGGAAAGAGTATTGCTCATAAGTTATGTTCTTTATTTTGCTTATTCCATTTCATGAGCCTGGACTGTATTCTTATACTCTATTCCTTTTTCTAAGAAATTTTTGTCCTTTTTGTCATTCTGAACTAAAAATGTAGAGAGGGAAGCATTGCCATATGTCATTGTTCAGACAGTACCAGAAATAATGTTGACTTCACAGCTGAACTTAGCCCCAATCAGAAGGATGGCCTTTGTTTTCTCATGGCTTAGGGGGTGGGGAAGCCATCACATGCTTCAAAATGCATTTTAATGAATGTTTATAAGGTCATGGGGATCACATTGGTAGCTTTGTCTGCCTGATTATGAAATGGGACTCTGCAGGCATCTATGTATGGAGAGAAAGTAATTCATTTCTACCACCAAATGCAGGACCTGCAGGGGCTCTGGCTAGAAGTTGGGACGTTTGAGGTCTAGGATCCTTATCCCTTAACTGACTGTATGGCCAAATGCAAATTATAGCCCCTTCTGTTTTCTGTAGAAGTAGAGGATTTAGATCTGCTCTCTAGGAATCCTACCAACATCTATGGCTTCACTCAGTGTCACAGACTCAGGGCAGGAACCTGTGTAATATGTGGACTGAAGGAAGCAAGAAATGGCTGGTATCTAGAACTAATAGCTTGCTGTCACCACAGAGATTGGAAAACAGCACACTTAGTAAGTGAGAAGATTTGTTTACAAAGGTCTGGAAGCTTGGTGGGGGACATTGGGAAAGGAAGTCTTTCCAGAGGAGTGAGCTCTCTTGATCTGGTGTATTTGATTTAAGACGGTGGCCATGGAATTCAGTAGAAAACATGTGACCTGGGCAGGTAGAATTTCAGCAGCAGCACCCATTGGCCCAGAAGACCTGGCAAAGTTGCCAGTGTGGCAGTGGGCATGGGGAAGGCCTAGCCAGCCTCTCATAATGGAAATTAGTAAGAAATCATGTAACCATGTAAAAAGGAAGCACTGAAGTGAGCCTTTATCTAGGGGCATTTAGAATCACCCATGGGACTGTGTACAAGCCCTATCCTGGATGAGATTAAAGCAATTGATTTGTGATAAGAGGTTCTGGGAATCTGGATGTTTCTAAGTGATTTGAGTGTTCAGCATGGCCTTAAGGCTCACAGCACTGAGGGAGCTACATTTTTGTTCATCTGGCCATGAGGGCCATGATTCTTTTCATCATGCTGGTGAGAGAGGGGATATCTGTATCTAATATAACAGCACTGTATGTCCTAGACAGACTTCCAAAGCTGAAATTGGGAGTTTTTATGTAAAAAAGTTCTTTAAGAGAACTATACCTATTCACCTGTTGACATTCATGTGACTGCCAAGTCCCTCTCTTCCTTTTCTTATTTTGATTATTCCCACATGCTCTGCTCCACCCTACTCCCTTTTCCCCTTTACCTGTTGACAGGCAGTTTATTAACATGAGAGCCATTGATAAGTGTGTGTAAAGCCATGAAAGGGTAGGAAATACTGCATTACTGGCAGTTTTGCTTTGTTCCCAAAGGCTGTGCTTTTATATGTGGGGAACAGCTCTCCCACAGTACAGATCCCACAGTGGGGCCTTTTCCGGCTGTTTGATATCTCCCCAACCTGAGGATGCATCTGCAGAGAGGAATTTCTTATTTAAATAACCTTATACGTGGGTTCCCCCCCCCCTTGGATTACAAGTTCTTCTCATTAAAAACAAACAGTACAGAAGTGTAGAGAATAGAAAGGGAATTGCCAGTAATCCCCAAGAAATGACTACTCCAAATGGTTGGATATAGGTTCTTCAAAGTTATGTTTTATGCATGTATAAGCAGTGTTTGTATGTGCATGTATGTGTGTATGTAAATAAAAATAAATGAAATGAGAACTACAATGTTCTGAAACTTAGACTTTTTTCTAAACCATATATATTAGACAGCTGCCCACAGGAACACTCACAGATCAACTTCATTCCTATTGAGATTTAGTTTATTACCACAGTCTGATGCAAGACAGGGGTATCTGTAGACAAGTAGGAATTAAAAATATCAGCCAAGACAGGGGTATCTGTAGACAAGTAGGAATTAAAAATATCAGCCAGTTCTCCTTTGCTTTTTAATGCCTGCCTTTGGCAACAGGTACATAGAGTGGTTTTGTCATAGTTTTATTGACCTCCCCTTTACATGGGCAAAGAATACCCTTGCTGTGACTTTTTGTCCTGTTTGGTATCCAGGTAGCATAACTCATTATTTGAAATGTAACAGGACTGTTGAAATGAAGCACAAGAACAAAGAAGCAAACATTATAGTTGTTTTTTTTTTTGAAGGCTATATTTTATAGTTTTGACAACTATAAGTCTTAGACTGAGAGATGTTTTATCTTGAAGGTTTCCTATTCATTAGCTTTAATGTGCCAAGCCTTTATAAAAATTTTTTCTCTCCCCCTTCCCATCCCTTTCTTTCTTTATTCTCTTTCAGCCACAGGGAACCCTTAAGAGGAGGCAGGAAGGAGACAACTACCAATTTGCAGGCATGGCTGATGGGGGTTACCCTAATAAAGTTAAGAGGCCCTGCCTTGAAGATGTCACCCTTTCTATGGGCCCAGGTACCCATCCCAGTACCCTCTGTACAGAGATGCAGGTTCCCATGTTACCAGTGAATCCTAGCTCTGCAGTGATGGGAGTACCTAATCAGTCATTACTACTTGAGAATAATGCCATAAATGGCAGTGTCACAGGCCCACCATTTGGGGTGCCACCAACCCCAGAAATGGAGCTGAAAGAACCCTCTGCTCCTTGCTATGAGAAAAACAGCCCACCTGCTGAAGACCAGGAACTTCAAGATCTGCTGGAAGAGTTAACCAAAATTCAGGAACCTTCTTCATCTGAATTAGATCTTGAGAATATACTGGGGAGCAAGCCAGAAGAGCCATTGGTCTTACATCCTCCCCAGGCAACCGTAGGCATGCCCCCCCAGGCAACCGTAGGCATGCCTCCCCAGGCAACCGTAGGCATGCCTCCCCAGGCAACCGTAGGCATGCCTCCCAAGCTTCCAGTTCAGATGCCACAAATGGAGAGCGTTTGTTCCAGCAAGGCTTTTGCTTCGAGTTGCAGCCAAGTCACTGGCGTGTCAGTTCCAATCATGCCCTCCTCCACTGGGATCAGCCATTCTGTTCCTTCCACCAGTAAGCAGATGGTCTCAGTCAGTCCTTCAACAACACAGGCCAAGAACCAGGCCCAGGCCATGCTCCCTGTCACTTTGCCCCCATTACCAGTGCCGCAGTGGCATCATGCCAACCAGCTGAAAGCATTGGCAGCCAGCAAGCAGGGATCTGCTACAAAGCACCCAAGGCCCTGCATCGCCTGGTCTGGCCTGCCTCCTACAGGCATCTCCCCACCTTACCGTCCGGTGCCATCACCACACCCACCACCACCACCACCACCACCACCACCACCACCCTTTGGCTCTCAGAGCTTCATGGGACCCTGCATATCATCCAACAGTTCCTCAGGCAGCACTGTGCAAGCCTCGCCCAATGCCTTACTCTCCAGCATGGCGTCTGGCAGCAGTGCCACTATGGGGCCCACCTTGCACTATGTTCCTGAGAAGCATCCCAGCGTGGCTGTCAATCAACAACCACAGTTTGGCCAACAGAGCTCCATTCTTGCAAACCTGGTATCCTCTGCAATCAAAAGTCCTCAAGGACACCTGATGTCTGCTCTGCCCACCAGCAATCCAGGGCCATCCCCACCCTATCGCCCAGAGAAACTCTCCAGCCCAGGCTTGCCACAGCAGTCCTTCACTCCACAGTACTCTCTGATCAGGAGCCTCCCTCCCACCAGTACTCAGCTAAGTCAGCAGCAGCAGCAGCAGCAACAGCAACAGCAGCAGCAGCAGCAGCAGCAACAGCAGCAACAGCAGCAAGCAAATGCCATCTTCAAGTCCATAACCAGCAATTCATCCAAAACCATGACCATGATCATGCAACAGGGGCTGACCAATTCCAGCCCAGAAGCCCCTGAACCATTTACCTTTGGCAACACCAAGCCATTGTCCCACTTTGTTTCTGAGCCAGGCCCCCAGAAGATACCCTCCATGCCTGCCCCCTCCAGGCAGCAATCCCTGCTTCACTACTTGCAGCAGCCCACACCAGCGCAGGCCTCCTCAGCCACTGCCTCCTCCACTGCCACTGCCACCTTACAGCTGCAGCCACCACAACCACTGCTGCCACCACCACAGCCACTGCCGCCACCACCACAGCCATTGCCGCCACCACCACCACCACCACAGCCTGACCATTCTGCATTCCTACTGCAGCAGATGATGCAGCAATCCCAGCGCTTTCAGCGATCAGTGGCCTCAGATTCCATGTCTGCTCTTCCCAGACAGGTAAGAGGATCTCACACCTGGTGGTGTTCCTTTGTTGTGAAATAAGAACTATGTTTTATGCTATTGAAACCTGGCTTTGGAGGGCAAATCCAGGCTATTGTCCTCTCCGAGGCTGGACTTGACTCTGGCAAAGTCTATGTCAGTCATCTAATTCTGCGTGGGTAAAGCAGTGTTAATGAGGCCAAGGTTATGGTTTCAGTGCCTGTTCATGTTGCCCAACTCCCCTGGGAGGAAAACAGTACTTACAAAGCTTCCAGGAGAAGGAAAGGCAAGAGGAGGACAAGTCAGCATTGTGTAGAAATGCACTGTCTTCTCCAGCACTGGCTGTGCAGCAGAACTTGTGAGGTCTTCTTGGCATGCAAGGAAGTTTCACTGATTGCTGGTATAAGGATGAACACTAAGCCTTCTAGAAATGCCTTAGCAATCACTTGCTGAACAACTTCAGTGTTCCATTCATCACTGTGTTGGACACTGAGGCAGGTGCTGAAGGAAAAAGACAGGCACTAGCAAGGTAGTTAACTCTTACTGTCTCCATTTTACAAATGAAGAAACTGAGGCTCAGAGAGTTGCAATGACTTGCCCAGAGTCACACAGATAGGAAGGGGCAGAGCAGGAACTTAAAGCCAGGAAGCTTTTTTCCAGAACCTGTGCTCTTCTTGAAATTACTTTTGATCCCTCCTGTTCCTTCATCTCCTAGTTTTTTCATTCATTAAATGCAGCTCAGTTTTCTTGGTGGTATTCGTTACATTTCCCACTTGTCATTGCTCTGATCTTTGCCTATACTAGTTATCATCTGCTGTGTAACAAATTATCCCAAAGCACCAATTTTGAACCATATGCGTACATTAGGTCAGTTTTTGTGGGTCAGGAATCCTGGAACAGCTTAGCTGGGACTTCTGGCTTACTGACGCTCAGAAGGCTGCAGTCATGCAAGACTCCACAAGGAAGGATCTGCTTCCAGGCTCACTCACATGGTTGTTGGCAAGAAGTAGTTCCTTGCAGGCTATGGGGCTGAGTGTTCAGTTCCTCCCAAACTAGTTCCTTAACATATATCCTCTTCACAGAGCATCTCACCGCATGGTAGCTGGCTTCATCCAAGTGGGCAAGAGAGAGGTGCCGGCAAGTCAGAAGCCATAGTCTTTATAATAATTCAGTCTATGTTCTCTTCATGAGATGTCAGCCAGAGAGATTTTGTGAAGGATGACTACTTGGAGGCAGAGCTCAATAGAGGCCATGTCTCATGTATGCCTGCCCAGAATACTGTTAGTCACGATCCTCTTTTCTATCATTTTATCCTTTCCCAAGTTTGGATCCTCTTGATTCAAAATATGAATTTATATAGTTGGCTCTTAACTACTTTCCCCCAAAGAACCATCCACTTTTCTAAGAGTTGCCTTGCTAAAACAATGCCCTGGTCATGTTTCCCACTTGCTCAAAAGTCCCCAGAGGGTCATAGCATGGCCCCACCAACCTTCTTAGACTCAGTGCCTATGCCTTGTACTTTGTTTCAATAACATCTTAATCCACCCTGTGTAGTCTTAGCCTTGACCCCTGCTCTTCCCCATGCCTAGCTCTCTCTTCATCCCTTTTCTCTCCTGTCCAACTCCTGCAGTTCCCTAAGGCTCAATACTGTGCCATCAGGAAGCATTCTCCTGACTATCCTTCATGCTTCCATTTCCCACATGGTCTCCGTCATCTATAGAGCATTCAAGGAGAAGATGTCTTTAAAGTGCTTGGTCAGGGACCTAACCCAAGGAAAGCTCCAATGAGGAACTGACCTCCTATTCAAGGATGACCATGGCAGCCCCCTAGAGATAGTTTTTTTCATCCAGGTCTCGTGGAGCCTAACCAAGCAGAGTGCTTGACACCAGGGAATTGATCATTCCATTTATGTACACAGAAGGCAGAGCTCCCATGGAGGTGGCCATAGTAAGCAGCATGAGGACTGACTCAGCAGGCAAGAAAGGGCAGGCCACCTGGGGACTCAGGCCTTTGTCTGCAGTTGAGGAACACTGTGGTTTGGTTTCATGATAGTGCTGTTGCTATCTGTTTGCTTGGACTTCTGCAGCTATCTTGGTGGAGCAGTGGCATCGACTCTGGAATTCTCAGTAGTAAGCATGGCCCTTATCCTAGAGGTATTTCACCATCTAACATTTTGAGCCATTGTTGTTTTGTTTTGTCTGCAATTGGGTACATTCATAGGCTTGGTGCATTGTTCCAGAGCTAGATACCTGGAATCATGGAAATCACATCCAACCAGTTATTTAGATGGGACTGGAGAATGTTTTCAGGAGAAAGACCAAGCAGCCATGCTCTCTAAGGCTAGAAGCCAAAAGGGGCTCAGAGACCTCTGACAGCAGAGAGAGTCTGGGCTCCCTACATGACATATTGTCAGGAGAATTACCTTCCCAGACAGTGTCAGCCTGTACCCAAGGACTAGACATGGTACTCAGTGATTCACTTGCCTTTTCTCATTTGAATCCTCAGAGGTAACCCACAGTCACTCAGCAAGTCAAACAACCAGAGTCTGGATACAGAGCCCACATTCATACTTCTGTGCATGAGGCATTGCCTCTGGAACTTTCTGTTCCTACCTTCACTTCTTACCTGTTTCCTCTTCTACAAAATGGGGTGATGAGAGGTCATTTGAGGATTAAATGTTTAGAAATCTGAAGTACTTTGGAAAGGGCTTGGCAAAAGGGTTTTTTTTAACCACTATGACTTTTAATTCTTGACCTTGAACCCCCAGATCTGTTTTTCTGGGGCTAAGGTATGAATCTCAAACCAGGAACTTTGTCGGGACAGAATGTGAAAAGCACTTTTCTCCAGCTTTGTGTCTGCCATGAGGCTGACAAGAGTTGCAGGACCTTCCTGTTCTAGGCCCTGCCCCGCCCCCTGCAAGAAACCCAGGGCTGGAAGAAAAAGGAAAGAGCTATGTTCACTTTGCTGCTTTGTTCTTGAGTTGTCTCTACTCTTGCCCCAACTCTCCTTAGCACTCCAATTTCTACATGGCTCTCTTTCAGCCAGAATGCCACAAGCAGCCCCCTGTTCCCTCTTTTCCTTCTCCTGACCTTACCCAGTAACTTTAAGGTCTACAAACTCAGCTTTACATGGCATTTGTTAGATTGGGGTATTTTTCCTGAGTTACAATGGAGATATGTTTGAATCTCAATCTTAGCTTTTCTACCCACCCCCACCACCATATGAGGGATTGAAATCAAGGGCATTGAACTTAGGGGCAGTTTACTACTGAGCTAATCACCAGCCCTCACTAGTTACTGAGGGTCTCACTAAGTTGTGGAGGCTGAACTCAAGCTTGCAATTCTCCTGCCTCAGCCTCCCATTTCACTGGGATTATAGGTGCGCACCACTGTGCCCAGGTGGATCGTATTTTTTTAAAGGAATAGTTTCTAAATGTGAGGTGAGAAACAAACTCTACAGTAAGCAGAAAAGCAAAATTCAGTTGTTTATAGGAGCTCATTCTTATTTGCAGGCTAGTATTTCTCAACTTGGGGGATTTCACTTTACTTGTTGAAATAATGATTGAGTTTCACTGAACCATTCACTTCCATGTCAGGTAAAAGGCAAATGCTTGTCTGGCTTCAGGAAAGCAGTTCAGTATGGCAGGTTAAACAAGGGCACTGGAGGCAGACAGAAGTAGTTTCCAGTCTGGTTATAGACACTGAGCAATGTTCCTGAGCCTCAGCAGCAAATGGGGAAAAAAACAGTCTCTAACACATAGGTGTTGAGAAGATAAAGAAGATGAAATTAGGGACTGGGGCTATAGCTCAGTTGGTAGAGTGCTTGCCTTGCATGCACAAGGCCCTGGGTTCAATCCCTAGCACCACAAAAAAAAAAAGATGAAATTACTCAGGCACACACTTAGGCAGGACCAGTGTATGCTTGTGGCCTTAGATCTAAAGCCCCTGTGGCCAATGACAGTCTAGTGGAGACCATTTGAGACTTGATCACAGTAATATGGTGTAAATCCCAAATACACACAACCCTCCAGTGGAATCTGGAGAAACATTTTATTATTTTTGCAGATAAGTATTCATATTGAAGTCCAGGTCAAATATTGCCCAAAGTAAAATTTGTGACCAGATTTACAAAAATAAAATTTAACTTTCAAAGTGTCTTGAAACTTGAAATTACAGTAAGAGATATGGACCTGGAATTACTGAGAGAAGGATTTTTAAATCTCTCTCATGACACTCAGGGTGAGTTTGTTCTACTCCAATACTATATCTGCCCCACCTTACCCTCAGACTGGGTGACATATCTGTTTTTAATCAAAGTGAGGTAAAATGAATTTTGTCCCCATGATTTGATACCCCTTCAACCTGAAAACTGTAAGAGATTCTTGAGTGTGTTGCAAAAATCAAGGTTAGGATTTAGTTCAATTTTACCATTGGCTACTAGAGAATAGAACTTTCATTTACTTAAACAGGAAAACAAGATCTTCAAAGAGATGGAAGTTGCAGTGCATGAGAGCAGGGATAGCAGGATAGCAGGAGGCTGCCTCCAGCCAGAGGCCCTCAGTGCACGTGCTTTGGAGCCCTGCTCAGATCTGCAGGGCTGCAAGTGAGGCTTCATGGGGAGGAGGGATGTGGATGGTGGCCAGTTGGACTAAGAACAAAAAATCCTGGAATCCGATCCTTGAGGCAGGCCGCGAGGCACAGGGGGAAGAGGGCAGCTGCAGAGAAGTAGACCAAAAGGCACATGATGTTGTTTTGACAAATTCTAAGAGGAGAGAGAGAGGTGAACCCAGCCTGCCTTGGAGAAGCCTGAATTAAGCTCCTACTGGGTCTGCTCTGTTTTCTGTCTTTGACAAGAAGCGTCATAACTCCTTAGCTCAGGCAGCAGTGAGCGCCCAACATTTGGGAAGGCAGTGATCTCACCGTCTGCCCTCCCTGAGGGGCTGTGTCTATGGTGGGGTCTAGGCACCTTCATCTGAGGTAGGCTCTTGGGGAAATCCCTCACAACCCTCACCAATGGGC